TGTGGTCATGATTGTGGTCACTGTTAGTGGGCATGGGGCAGACACAAGATGGACCAACATTAACAACATTGTTGCAAAGAACGACCAACAATTCCTTCACTGCGACTGCCTCCTTCGTATTCAAGACCTGCTGTGGGATGTCAGTTGCGTTTGTTTCTCCCGCTCCAACAGCCGAGGCTCAGACCTCTCTTCAGCCGCAGTCACAAGAAAAGCCTTTGCGCTGCAGGGGTTGAGTGACGAAGCTGGCTGTGAGGTAAAGAGGTGATGACACGCACATAGGTTTCATCATCTCCTGTCATTATGTGTCCTGGTTGGATTTGACTGCCTCGCGCTGCCCTGCATTCTTGGATGTATTTCGGACATCCAATGTCGAAGCATTTTTCTTTGTCTCATTTGGTGAATTTCTGCTGCTGAACGGGAAAGACAATGACCCTTTTGTCAGTGTTCGACCAATCCTGGCTTTGTTCGGTGTATATAATATATAGGTCTATAGTGTAGGCTTCTATCCCGTACAATGGAGTCACTGGATTTGCTTCATGAATGCAGTCTGTAAAAACCGGGCATGAAGCGCCGGACACCAGAGCATTTGCAGGCCTCCATCGAAAGGATTGAGGCGCGATTTCAGCCGTCGGATTTGCGACAAAATGTTTGCCGAAGAAAGGAACTGTGTAACACTCAACTTTTCACCAAGTATAGAAGTCGACGCCAAGTGTGGTGCAACTTCATATTGAAAGGTCGGAGGTGAGGTCAGCTCATGGTTCCGGGATGCGTACTCCTTGTATTTTCTGCGAGTCCGACCCTCCCGGCACTCCTAGGCCGGTTCAGACCTGTTTAGCACGGTGTTGGATGTTGAGCAGGGTCCCGGACGTCAAGATGAGACTGTACCAGGCCCTCTCCAACGCTCCAGGCCCTCTCTGCATTGTCGGTGGCCACACGTGATGCCGTGGGGGTCTTGGAGAAAGACCTGTCAGCGATAAAGGACTGGAACCCGTCTAGGGAGGGGGGG